ATGCTTTTGATTTCATCCCCGTATAATCTATAATCCACTGCAGCACCATAGAGAAGCTGCAGTAATTAGAGAAACCAGATTTTATTTAATTTCAGTATATATCCAGATAGAACATTTATGCAGGATTCAGTTCTAAAGCCATATCTCTGTCTTTTAACTTATTAAACTGCACAATTTAATAAACAGAAAATCTGTGATGACATTGCTGTCCACCTAAACGGATAGGTCGGCAAAGGAAAGAGGCAGCTAATAAGGCCTTGGTAGTTTAGAAATGTGGATATCTGCAGCTGAGGCAGGAGAATCCTTTGGTAGGGAAACTATCATGAAGCCCTGTTTGCAGTTTGTCATAATCAAAACATACAGAATGTGTTTGGGTCAAAGGGGAATGAATATAAAAACCTGCAGTTCTGCACATCATGGTGAACACACCATCTTCAGGGTAAAACATAGTGGTAGAAGAGTAATGCTGTGGGAGTTTTTATCAGCAGAGATGGAGAAATAGGAAGAAATTGGATAAATGGGGTTAAACATTAGACCTGGAATTATGATTTACTTTCTACTGTATTGAGCTCATTTAGCTTAAAGAAGACCATCCTAACAATACAGTGTCTGAATTTAAAACAAAGCACATAATGTGGTTTTAATGCGGTTAGTTTCAACCAGAGAAAAACCTGACATTTGCTAAAGTCCAGGTTTTGTTTGATAAACTGTTTGTTTCATAATTTTTCTCTCTGCTACTTATCATTTTAATAAAATTAGACTTGCAGATGTTCTCTAAAACCTATTCAGTCCCACTCCTCTATGAATATTTTACAGTTTAAGAACTTTGCCCCAAGACTTTTAGAGAGTGATTAGTCCAACATCCTGCCACAGATTTAAGATTGAGCTCCATTTACAGAAAATAATCCCACTGAAGCATTTATTGCCTGTAAATACAACATTTTTTCGGTGAAAACAAAGAGTGAGTGAGCTAAATCCTGACGTGCAGAGAGGAGCAGTTGGTGGAATGATGATTCATCCGTTCTGTTGGGGCTTCTCCTCGTGCATCCAAGCTGGATCCACCATCTGTCCCCGCTGCCTGCCATGCCAGAGGCACTTTCCTGCCTTCTTTGCATGACACTGCATTATGCCAGAGCTGGAAAAACAGACCACAGTGACATGGGGAGAGTTATGCAATGCTTTGAAAAGTGATGGAAAAGAAGAAATAGAAAACAAATAATCTCAGTGTCTTACAGCTGCTTTTAGCAATAGCATGAGTGAGAGAAGCATTCTAATGATTATTTTTCCTTTGGCAGAAAGCAAACATTAAAGAGGAGGAGTTATTTAATCTCTTGTGTTCGTCCTCCAGTCTTCTGCAGCAAACTGCCACAGAGCTCCTGATGCACTGCAGATCTTCCTGACTTTGCACAGGTGAGAGCGGCGGATCCGGAGGTGGGCAGCTGTCAGCTACAACTCAGAATGCTCTGCTGCTGCTCCAAGGTCCGTCTTCACATATTAGGCTTTGGTTGCCTGGTAACTGGAAAAATTATCATGATTTTCCCAACAAAGATGATAGATCATGTGTTTTCCAGCAGAAGGAGTGCGTCACATAGAGACCTTAGTCATGCTGCAGTCACATTTTTCAAGTTGAATCATAAATAAATAATTAAACAATTCTTTTAATTCTTTTGTCTTTTTTGGACATTGTAATAGTATATTTGCTGTGTAGTTTGAGGTTATACTCAAAGCTATAAACAAATGTTTTAATAAATAATCCATGCCTAAATAGGAAGAAAAAATATATATAATTGCTCCAACAAAGAAACCAAACAAATAAGTGTGTTACTAGTTAAACAATCAGGAGTAGCACTAAGTAGATACAATAAATATTTTCTATTTTCATTAGACTTTTTAAGAATGTAGAAATAAAGAGTAAAGAATTGAAAATCCCTAATAAAAGAGGAGAATAAAAACAGAAAACATCTAAAGTAAAAACAGACAAAATATTTCAGTCATGTAAATGTATTAATCAATGATAATATAATTAACTAATGATAACCAAAACACATAAAAAGAATAAAAGGACAACGATTTGGGAAACATATCACAACATATAAATGAAGAAATGAATAAAGTCATATAAATAACTAAAGTTTTAAGGGAATTCAAATGGAAAACAAATTAATCGATATGTCAGGTGAAAAAAGTAACCGATTCGCACTGGTTTATTAAAATTATTAAATATATCTAAAAACTTTTTCACGGAAAGAAGTTGCAAAGTTGCCATTAATATATGGTGATACACCGCCCTCTTCTGGTAGGATGATTGTATTGCATTCCAGAAAGTGAGAATCTTAGCATTTTACATAAAAAAAAGGAAAAAGAAGGATTATAGCATACTTTAAAAATCATAAATTGAATTTTTGATTAAACTGTCAACCGTCAAGTCTGGGAATAAAGTTGAGATTAACCTAAAATAAAACAGAATTGTGTTTTAACAGATAAATAAATATATTGGTAAATTTCTGCTGAGCAACAACTTATCACATGGATAACCAAAAGTGCTGACCTGAGCAATCTGATTTAATATATAATATGACTTTCTTCATTTTACTGAACAATTATGGATTTCTCTTCTTATAACCTCCCTGTCCACGTGGAGATCACGTTGAAATATTGAAAAAGGGTCCAAAAGTAAAATGAAATTAAACAATAAGAGAAAATTGGTCAAATAGAACAAATCAATAGAAAAATAAAAATAAAAAATAATTGGAAATTAGTTAATGGAAGAATGATTGAAAACCAACACAACTGATTGGCTAATTGAAGGATTTATTGATTAGATACATTTATGAAATTGATAAATTTATATAAATCTGGAAAGTTGGAAACAAAATAATAATGACACACAGAAGAAAGCATTAAAGCTAAAATTAACATAGAAATCAAATAAAGGTGTTGATAAAGGCAGAAATGAATACAGGAGTGATATTATAGCTTTCAACTGAGGTGATAAGGTATATCAAATATGAGAAATCATAACCATATTTTCCACTACACCCATTTTGAATATATTTTCACCAATCCAATGAAGTCAGCATGCAAGTGTGATTTACTTTGCTGCCCCCCTCTGGTGTATATGCGGAATTACATGGCATTTTGTCCGTAAGTGAAACATTTCTCTATTTCTGGAAGAAACAATCTGCTGAAAATAGCAATGAGTCAATGAGAAAAATGCGAATTTGGCAAGCTTAAAACCTGATTTAAAGTAGCCTACTATGAAAGACTGTAAAAAATGTTTTAACCCCAAAAGGATCTGAGCAAATTATGTATAAAGTAATATAAGGCTATTTAGTCTAGAAATATAATGATCAAACTAAACTAGAAACAGAAAACAATGTTTAAATGCATCAAGTTAGTAGCCTCGTGAGACCATCCTGATCTCGCGAGCTTTCAAGGTTTCAAATCCATCTGGCGGAGTCCGGTTATCAAGTTAGTGCTATACATTAGAAACATCTGCACAGACAATTACATGATGATCAAGATCATCAGTGAACTATTTCTTAATAAGTACTAATGCCATCAATAAACTATGTGTTATTTAATTTTTTTAGAGTATGCTGTAATATAAATTGGCTCCATGTTTTAAAAAAAAAAAAAAATCTTGTATATCACTGTACCTCCTAGATTCTTCTACCTTAGTATTGTAGAGCTGAGTAGATTAAACCAGTAGAGCACCTATAAGTCACAATAAGATGTCATAACTAATAAAACCATTAGGCTGCTGCTGACTGCCTGCCCCGCTTTGCAGAGAGCATGCAGCAAAACGTGACCATATATAATATGGAAAACAACAAAAACTAAATAAGATAAATGAGCAATATAATCTAAGAATAAAATACATAATACATGGATAAATAAATATATTCATTTAAAATACAAGAATAAAGACATTTGAATAAAATATACATATATTGGTAAATGAAATAAATTAAATCTAAAACAACAACAAAACCTAATATGCACATTAAAGTTACAAATAATTGCCTAATGTCAGATAAAAGAGAGGAAAAACGTCAGAATTGGTGCTAAAATATTAATAAAATAAATCGTACATCAATAGTAAATCACAAAAAAATAATTATTTAATCTGTGCGAATAATTAAACATTTAAATCTGGTGAATGAATGAATGAACGAATGAACGATGAATGAATGAATGAAAGTTTCAAAGAAAGTTGAAAAAGGGGTGAAACACTGCCCCCCAAAGGTGGAAATAATTACTACCACATCCTGCCGATGCAGCAATCTGTTTTGACTTGCATAATTCTAAAGCCATTTTGTTATATATGTGTGACGCATTTCTCTATTTTTGGGAATAAAAAAAATTATCAAATCTGTATACAGCAAGGAGGACCCAGTTTAAACAGACAGTGAGATAAAACATTTGCTGTGATTAAATAACAGCTGAGTAATGCAATTATAGAGGAATATTGTTCAGCAAAACACAAAAAAATGTTGAACTACTGATTTAATAGAGTCAAATAATGTATGCATGTAAACCAGAAGCATGACCTAATTAAACTGTAAACATCACGTAACACACGTAGGACCTCTTGTGCAGATCCAGTCCTTTTCTGACCGCTTGTTTCAATATTTATTTGCAGATCTTATTGTTTACCCTAACAATAACCATTAAGTCCATTTCTATAAACTTTTTGCGCCATAAATGTATGTATTTTTTTCTATTTATTTATAATCTATTTCTATTAAAGTTGTTTTAGATCCTGCTTCATTCATCTTTCCTTACCAGGTCTCAGTAACCTGGTAACAAGCTAAACCGAGTCCCCATATGGGCTCATAACTGTGTAATAAAACAACAGAGTCCTCTGCACATGCTGCCTGCCTGGCCTCGTAAGGTAGAGCATGCTGCAAAAACGTGACCACGCTGTGACACGCACGGATCAGTTTGGACCAATCAGAGCGCAGCTCGCGGCCCATACACGTAGCTAGTTGGCGGAGGGACTGGCAGTAGGTGCGGCTAAGCAGGAGGAGCGGCGGTCTTTCCCTGGGCTCCTGGAAGAAAATATCACCATATATCCCCGCTAAGAAGTCTACTTTCCGATTGTGAACCCAACTGGAAGACGACGAGGAAGGATTTCAACAGCTGGATGCTTGTTTGGGCGCCATTAAGACGACGAATTTGATAGTTTCGTGTTTACATAACGGGCTTTCACAGATCCTGCGACGGTGTCTTCTGGTCGTTAGCATCTCCAGGTGACTATAAACCAACAGGCCGGATAATATTCCGTCGTTTAATATCATTCAGGTGCGACACGAGTCGAGAGGTTTTGTCTTTTTTCGTCGTTTTTGTGTTTTTTTCCACCATTAGTAAAAAAACAAGTTATACAACAAACGAGGCCAGGGCGCTCTAGCGAGCTGGGTCTTAAAGTCCGCCGGGTTCACGCCGTTACATTTTTGGCGGAGAGTTTCCTCTCCTGCGCCCAAATGCTTCAGAAATCAACTGTTTATCAATTCTTCCACATTATGGAAAAAGTTCTGTTGGAGCAAGGCTAACCTGATATCCCGGGCTCTGTTATTTTTTTTTTAATCTAAAGTGACTTTTTTCCCCTTTTTCTCCTCCTGGGACTTTTAACTGTCTGCGAATTGAAATAGAAATCGAACCAACCCCTTGAGGGAAAAGACTGCTGATCCTGCTCACGAAAGGAATAACTAAAGGACTCGTCCAGTTGAGTAATGGTCATTAATACGATCCACTGGTTCCGGAAGGGCTTGAGGCTCCACGACAACCCGTCGCTGAAAGACTCTCTGCTGGGAGCTGATACCGTCCGCTGCGTTTACATCCTCGACCCCTGGTTCGCTGGCTCTTCCAACGTTGGGATCAACAGGTGGAGGTGAGGAAACCCTAAAATATCCATTGATACCTGCAGATTAAACACATCAGATTATATATTACACCATAAAATGAAATTAAAAGCAGGAATAAGCATGATTGCTTTCTAGGTGAAAAGTTAAAATCATGTGATGCAGCACAAATGGTCTGATTGCCTGATTAGGAGCTAATTGATCACTGATCAATAAAGATCATTAAGAAACCATAGTTTTTTACTATCATCCTAAAAACATTTTTTTTGTGTGACCACTTTAAACCACCCATGAGTTTATTATGTTAAATAAATGTTTTCAACAACCTGAAATGACAGATTTAACAGACAAACTTCATTTTTTTAATCTCAAAATTCCTTTGGAACCTCTATATTGGCTTAAAATGGTATAAAGAAATAACTACTGTTCTATTTTTTAATAAAATTTTCTCAACAGAAGTGTTTTTAAAACTATTTTTTCTTTTTATTAGTTCTGAAATTATGCATTTAATTTTTTTTATACTGAAAAATGATATCCTACAGAAGAGAACCCATGCTTCATATTTGTTAATCATTTTTATTTTGAAAGCTAAATAATACAAACAAACGGTTGTTAGTTGAAGATATCCACATATTTAAAAAAATTATATATATTAAAAATTATGTAATATTTTAAAGTTCTAAACTACTTTTACTGATCTGGACTCGGGACACAATGGCTCTTTGTATATGAAGGGTTGCAGACCCCTGTGTTATACCAGTATAAACTGGCACACAGTTGTGAAAACAAACATTTTAAATATCAAAACCTACAAAGTCTGGGGAGCATTTTTATTTATTGCTTACTTAGATACCGTTGAAGGAAATTCTGCAGCAATAAAACTAAACAAAAGCAGCCGTCGCAGAATAATCGGAAGAAGAAACTCATTGTTGATAGAAAGCGAAAGACATCATGTTTGCTGCAAACCATGTAAAACAGCGGGTTTCATTATCTAGCAAAAATGGTAATGTGAAAGAAAGATACGCCTACACATGTCTGGGGACTCACTATTCCCTTAGTAATACATGGCGGTGGCAGCATCATGCTGGGATATTGGTTTTTTTCAGGACCGGACGATTGCCCCAAACCCTAAAAGCTGAGATGCTGTCTGTTTTATTTATGCAGGAAAAAAACTCCACATATCTTTGCAAATATCACATAGAGCAATGGATTTGGGTGATCTATAGGTAAAGGGTCTGGTCTTCCTTGAGTACAACACCAAAGTATTGTAGCGTTGAATTTTAAGGCCATCAGTCAGACGTCTGAAGTCCAAACTGGGTCAGCAGCAGAACCGCGATCTGCAGAATGAATAAAAAGAGTGGAGATGCAATAGAGACACAAGACGGTGTGGTAAGGTTTGACACTGCGTCGTTGAACACATTTCACCAACATCTCTTCTTTTTAGTACATGCAATTAATGTCACTTTAATGTCAGATTGTGACTATTTTCATAACATAATGAGGCTCATTTAATGTTTCATTTTTGAAATGTGATGGCTAGGATTAACTCACATTATTGTATAAATATAATCATTCAAGGATGAAGTTTCAGTTTTTATTTTTTGGTCTGAAAGAAAACGTCATCATGGGAGGTTCTCAACAGGGGCCAGTACCCCTGTAGAACTGGCCCTGATCCCTGTTATGGCCCCTACACCAAAGAGAAAATGCTAAATAAGTTTACGATGAATAAATTATGATATGCAATGGAACAGAAACTGCAACTGAAAGGTGCCTTGGAACAATTTCCTGTTTTATTTTAGTGATGTTTTAAAAATAAAGTTGTTACACTTTTAGCTTCAGTCATATTAAGATAAAACTATTTTTTCACTTCTAGCTCTAAAGATTCTAGAGCTGCAACTGGTTCTTAATATACCAAATAAAAAACTATTGTGTTTTTTTTTTTTTTTTGTTTCATTCTTTTGTTCCACCACTGGATGTCACACAGCAGTAAGTGGAAAGAAAATTAGTTAGATTAATTAATTAGAAGTTTTCCTATTTGAGCGGATCTTTGTTTGACATCCAATTAAGTAATTATTACCATTGATTAATAAGTTAACCTTTTGTCCTTCCGTCCGTCTGAGCAGCTCGAAGTCTGATCTTCATGCTCTAGATGATTACAGTTTTCACTCTGATTTTCTACGAAACAGTACCGCCAGCCACACGCGTATCACTGGGGATTTTGTTCTGCTTATCAGTGAAATGAAAGTGGAGTAATGCATGATTCTTATGCTTTTTAACAAATATCATGCCCGTAGAATCAGACCACTACATTTTTACAATCCTAGATAAATGTGTGCTACCAATGCCTTCAGGGGATGTTTGCTTGAGAACATTAAGACACAAAAAAATACTAATGCATTCTCCAAATTTAGCCCTTCTGGAAGAGTGGCAAGAAGTAAATAACTTGCTTGAAGTTCTGCTTGCAGGCTCAAACCAGTTATAATGCAAAGACGGAACAGAAGGCTAACTTTTCGAAGGTTAAAAAGGTTAACTATGAAGAAAAAAACTGAGCGAGGTTCCAGAAGAGCTGAGGCTCACGCAGAGGTTCACCTTCCATCAAGATAACTAATCTAAACATAGAGCTAGAGCCACAGTGGAACAGTTTAGATCAGGTTTGGATCATTACATCAGGTTTGAGCTGTTTTACAAAGAGAAACAGCCAAAAAATGTCACCTTGAGATGTTTGTTGAAAAAATTTGGAAACCAGCACATCTTATCCTACTGAATAAATACGTACTTCTTCAAGTTGTCCCTTCACTTAAAAATACCAACATCATCCGCTGACGTTTGTAGTCGTAAGAAGGTTGAATTTGTTACCAAGGTAAAGCATGACATAAAGGAGAAAAACTGACGTTGTCCCTGCAGAGATACCCTTCGGCGTGACGTCTGAGGTTCCGCCAGTCAAAACACAGAGTATCACTGTTTCTTCAGACCCAAATATTTGCCTGTCTCAGCCTCAGATATCCGTCCCAGCTGCCTGTCTGTGTGCATGTTGTTTAGCTTCCCTCTTTGGTCCAAATGTGGGATCTGATGCAAAACAGTGACTGTTTTTGATTCCTGTCAGAGTCGAATGTCATCTCCTGAAAAGTGAAGGGAGGGTTTGGGAGTGGGGCTAGGGCAGCAGTTAGGAGCATCCTTGTTTTTCTTTCAGTGTTACACAACAGCAGCCAGCTGTGACGCAGAGCCAATGCACAGTGCCCCGATTCACTCCACCTTTCTAGCTTTTATCCTCATATCCAGCATGTACAGGCAGGGAAAACCTTTTGAAAGGCTTAAAGGGGTTAACCTAGCTCAGTTATTTTACACATCTTTGAATTAAAACCCTTTTCTTAAATCCGAGTCGAGTCAGTTCCACGTAAAGTGATTAAATCACTAAAACTTTCGCTACCCGCTGGCATTTCCTAGCAGGGAACAAGTAGGTCATTGTGTTAATGGCAAACTCTTCCACTCTACAGCCTTTTCGACCTACTTCTGCTGTCCCAATAGACCGGGAGACCCCAGCTTTGTCCATCATGCCGCATTACAATTAACTTTGATCCCCAAAAAAGCAACGGCTGTCTGTAATTTATGTTCACACCATAACTAGAGCTGCTGGTTTACAGAGTCCCTCGCAGTGACCACTGAGCCGAAGTTTAAAGGGTCTTGTTTCCTTTGGCGGTCAGACTGCCCGAGTCGCCCTCGCTGTCTTCCACTGGCCTTGGATCAGATGGATTGTGAGCACAGCGTGTGATCCCAAACTGTCCCTGAAGCGGTGTGTAAACTTTTGGGTGGAGGCGTCAAACGGTGACTCATCACCGTTCATAGGGAAAGACTCCAGAGTCCACATCTTAACAAATGTGGCCAAAGGAGAAGGTGAAACGCTTCTCTAAAAGTTTCCAAATCCAGGTATTGGAAAGTTTTAGAGAATATAGGGCGGTCATTTTGTTTGGACCTCAGTAATGCTTAGATGAGGTAAAACCATTATGACACGACGCTGTCTATGGAAACGTCTCTGAAGGTCGTTCTTTAACTGTCAGGAAGCAGTGTTTCCACTCATTGCATCAGACTGGCTAGACATTATCCAAATACTACTGGTTTGACAGAGAAATGTGAAAATCAGAAACATTCTCCTTCAATTATCCACTTTTGGTCCAGAAATATCTTTTTGAATGCTTTATTTTTGCAGGATTCCTTACATTTCTTAAAAATAAAACTAATAAATCTGCTGTTTTTTTATTAATATTATAATTTTTTGTGACGCTGTCTATTCTCTAACAAACCTCTGAAGCCTTCATAAAACATCTGGTTTCATACAGATGGATTAATTGGGACGTTTAGGTGGGATTTTCTCAGGATGTCTCCACCTACTGCTCTCTGTGCCAATAGCAACACAAAGGGAAGCTCCACATTACTGCTGCTGTGTTTACCTGTGAGTAGGTGGGTTCTGCTCCTGGTTTCTGCACTCATGTAGAGGAAATGTACTCTAGAGAGCAGCTTATGGCTAAGTGGTTATTTTTAAAGGAATATTTCAGAGCATTTTTCTTTTGACGTCACAGGCGGCGATGATGGAGCTTTTTGAATCCGTATGATTCAGCATTGAGTCAGTTTTTAGAGAGGAGATACAAACATTATGATTGTAGCTCAAAATTCATGTAATGGAGGATAAAATGAGAGAGAAAGGAGTGAAGTATTTTATTAGAACTCATTTGTATTCCTGTTCGGGGAATATTTATTTAGTTGGCAAGTTAATTAAAATTTTACTAGTTGCAATAATATCTGTCGGGGATTTTTATATTTTCCATGTAAGAATTTGTGTAATTAAAAACAAACAGATTAAATATTTAAAATGCCGATTTTATGTGTTATAATTAACATGCTTGGCAGTAGAGCAATGTTTTTTATCATTTGTTTCTAAGGACTTTTGATCAATTCCAACTCTTTATATTTCGTTAGGTGATCATTAAAGTTAAAAAAGCTTCAAATAAGTAAGAAATTATAGATAAAATATTCCCTAACTGGAATCATTCCCTTATTAATAATAATAGGTACAATGTTAAAGTACTGAATACTACAGAGGCCCATCTGTATATTTAATATATGTGAAGATCTTGGGATAAAGTGCTGATCTGTCAGGCAGGAATTCAGATTTCATCTGCAATCCAAACCATGATTTTCTTTTAAATCACATAGAAACTGCTGTAGCAAAGCTGAAATATTTGGCACAGACACAAAGCCAGCGTGTCCCTAATTAATATAAATCAGCTTGCCCCGGTTTTATTTTCAAATATAAATTTAACAGTAAGTATAGATAAAAGGAGATCTCTTTTCATGTTTTTGTACTGACCCAACCAGTTTCCTCCTTTTCTCATTACTATCAGTGACATTTACTCCTTCAGCATCGAGGGTCCAGTTTTTGTCCTGGTTTACTGACATTATGTCGGTGTAGTGTTTCTGATGACTTGCCACGTAAAGCCAAATTACTCTTCTCACCTCTTAAGCCGGGCTTTTAGGTCCCAGGTGGAGGTAGTTGCTGAGATTTGGGTCACTACAATCATTTCAGTTAAGGGAAAGTAAGACGGTTTAAATTAGAAATATTTTGAGCTGTAAAGCCTTGTCGAAAACACTCCTCTCTAATATCCCAAATATTCAAATTCTTTCAATCTGTTTAGATTATTGGACGATTCTTTTTTTATTTGGAGATGGATTTAGTCTACTATGGAAAATAACCTGCATCACATCATCAGATTGATCATTAGGGGGTGAATTCAGGAAGCTGGTAGTAGAGCACCACCTAGTGGTTCAGAAAGAAAACTGCTACTTAACTGCTTCATGTCAGTACAAAAAAAAATCTGTTTTGCAGTTGTCTTTGAACCAGTTAAGAGTCCATGCTGGTTGCTCTCAATTCAGTTCGGTTTATTTCTATAGCGCCAATTCACAATACATGTAATCTCAAGGGACTTTCCAGTTCACCAGATCATCCAGTCAGTTTGATTCAAAATTTTCTATCTAAGGAAAACCTTCTGATTGTATTGACTCATTGACTCAAATGCAATCCCTCATACTAAGCATGCTTCTAGCGACAGTGGAGAGGAAAAACTCCCTTTTAACAGGAAGAAACCTCCAGCAGAACCAGGCTCAGTGTGAGCGGCCATCTGCCGAGGCCGACTGGGGTTCAAGGAGACAGATGCAGAGATACAGGAAGCAACTGTAAAAGGCGGAAACACACAGCCAGGCTGACGAGCTCCGAGCCAGCTCCCATTTCAGAGGATGAAGAGAGCACATCCAGCCAGTCACAGTCAGAGAAACAGGACTACACTGGAAAACAGGCCGATCTCCAACATCTATAAATAAAAATGTTGATGGCAGCAGCACAGATGATATTTCTCTCCAGGGTGGTGTAACAGCCAAACAGGAACAGACGAGGCCAAGCTACTAGGAGGAAAAAGCAGAGAGAGAAGAATGTTAGAGATCTCCATATATATTTCTCAGTGTTTGATGTTTCTTCTGCAGGTTCCTGCTGCAGAGTTTGGAGGATTTGGACTCCAGCCTCCGGAAGCTCAACTCTCGTCTGTTTGTGATCCGCGGCCAACCCACTGATGTCTTTCCCAGACTTTTCAAGGTGATTTGATCCACCAGGAGACACACTGAGCTTCCTGCTGCTGTTCGATGGGACCCCTGCTCATTTATTTTCCTCTGGTCTGCAGGAATGGAACATCACTCGGCTGTCTTATGAGTATGACTCTGAGCCTTTTGGGAAGGAGCGAGATGCTGCCATTAAGAAGCTTGCCTCTGAGGCTGGAGTGGAGGTGACAGTTCGCATCTCCCACACACTCTATGATCTGGACAGGTGAGGTTATTTTATACCCACTCCACCCCCAAAATGTTGTTTTTATTACTATTTATTAATAAACAAATGTTTGTCTTCTTGCTCTCAGGATCATAGAGTTAAATGGCGGTCAGTCTCCCCTAACCTACAAGCGGTTCCAGACTCTGATTAGTCGTATGGATCCGGTGGAGCTGCCAGCTGAGGCCATAACAGCTGAGGTCATGGGGAAATGCGTAACGCCGCTGTCTGAAGATCATGATGAGAAGTTCGGGGTTCCCTCTCTGGAGGAATTAGGTGAGTTTAACAAAGTGAAAAAAAAAACCTCTGCTTTATTGAAACTAGAAAACTGCAGGTTGTTTTTAGATTCAAAACATGTATCTTCTTCTTCTTCCTGCAGGTTTTGACACTGAAGGTTTGTCTTCAGCTGTGTGGCCGGGAGGAGAAACTGAAGCTCTCACTCGGCTAGAGAGGCATTTGGAGAGGAAGGTCAGTCATGTGATTCTTGATCTAATTCCCGGCCATGTGGCTCCTGCTTTCCTGTTTCCAATAACGTGAATGGTTTTGCCATCAGGCATGGGTGGCTAACTTTGAGCGTCCCAGAATGAACTCCAACTCGCTGCTGGCGAGTCCGACCGGCCTCAGCCCCTACCTTCGCTTCGGCTGCCTCTCCTGCCGCCTCTTCTACTTCAAACTTACAGACCTCTTCAGGAAGGTAAGTTTGTTTATTAACGGGTGAAATAAATAAATGAGGATGCCATTTATTGGTTGCAGGTTTGAGGGTATTTTATTTACTTAGCTCCATCGTAATCCGATTAAATTCAGCCCAGGTTCCTCTAAATATACAAAAAAGTCAAATAAAGGTGATTATTTAAAGCAAATGGGTAAAAATTCTAACCAGACTTTGCCGCAATCCCTCAAGCTGAGCAAGCATGTGGCGACAGTGGGGTAATAAATGACAGAAACATGGCGATGGGTATGAAGTTGGCCTTTAAACTAATCCTGATGTCTGACTCCAGGTGAAGAAGAACAGCTCCCCTCCTCTGTCGCTTTACGGCCAGCTGCTGTGGCGCGAGTTCTTCTACACGGCGGCAACCAACAACCCCTGCTTCGACAAGATGGAGAGCAACCCCATCTGTGTTCAGATCCCATGGGACCGCAACCCAGAGGCGCTGGCTAAGTGGGCTGAGGGCCGGACTGGTTTCCCCTGGATCGACGCCATTATGACCCAGCTGAGGCAGGAGGGCTGGATCCACCACCTGGCCCGGCACGCCGTGGCCTGTTTCCTGACCAGAGGAGACCTGTGGATCAGCTGGGAGGAGGGCATGAAGGTAGATGAGACGGATTCTACGTTTTTGTGTTTAAGAGGGGCTTCTGTGAACCATTTCTAATTGTTTGGGTTGTTGTCAGGTGTTTGAGGAGCTGCTGCTGGATGCAGACTGGAGCGTCAATGCAGGCAGCTGGATGTGGCTTTCCTGCAGCTCCTTTTTCCAGCAGTTCTTCCACTGCTACTGCCCAGTGGGGTTCGGCCGGCGTACCGACCCCAACGGAGATTACATACGGTACCGTTTGATCTTTCCAAACAATGTAGATTACATTAGTTCAATCGGTTTCCTTTCATCCGTTTGGTTTCATGAAGAAGTCACACAGTTCAGTAGTGGTGCGGCCACAGTTGAATAACGACGCTCTCCTTCCTCCTCTCTCAGGCGCTACCTGCCCATCCTCAGAGGGTTTCCAGCAAAGTACATTTACGACCCATGGAACGCTCCGGAGGCCGTGCAGAAAGCTGCCAAATGCATCATCGGCGTGCATTACCCGAAGCCCATGGTGAATCACGCTGAGGCCAGCTGCATCAACATCGAGCGAATGAAGCAGATCTACCAGCAACTCTCCTGTTACAGAGGCTTCGGTAACGACACACACCTCAGCTTCAGTTGTTTCTCTAGATTTTCATTCACAACTAATGTTTATCTTTGATAACTAAATCTGTTTGAATGAAAAAGCCTCAAACTTTAGTATCATCATTTGGTTTGATGTCGTCAATCTTTTTTCCCATCAGGCCTTCTGGCTACAGTTCCATCCAACTCCAACGGTAATGGCAACAATGAGGCGTCCTCAGATGGGATGGCGTTCTCCATCAATCCTTCACCACAGGCTGCATCTCCAGCAGGTAAGAGAAACAAGATCTCCTCTTCTCTCAGGCTTCAGGCAGAGACATCATTAAAACCCGCTTCTGTTTGTATCATTTATCACAACTTAAGCCTAAATTCACACGTTGGGTTGTTTTCTTTAACTTTTCAGCCTATCAGCTGCCGGCCCATTCACAGGGAGACTGGCAAAGTGGTATGTTGATGTACCTCCAGGGGGATCCTCAGGGCAGCACACATAAGCAGGGTAGGCACGACACAAACTTTATTATTTAATCCTTTTTATTATTATCTGTCAAGCTAATCATCTCCTCTTGTCTTTCTAAAGTTCCCAGTTATGCTCCCACTACCAGCATGATGTGTTACCCACAGATCTCAAGTCCTGCACTGCAAAAAGGTGCAAATTATATCTCTGATTTACATACCTATAACCCCTTTATTTATACTGAGTCGTATTAAAAAACATGCCATATGTGTTGCTTGCTGTAAATCAGATTTTAGATTAGAGATGATTAAATTCATCATTGCACCTATAACTAGTACAAATTTAGGTATGAGGCTAATTAGCGACACTAGGCATCCAGGGAACAATTTAACACTTTTCTATATAAATTGGGCAGTTTTACCTCGATAACAATAAATGCCCGGCTTCGCTATCAGAAATAAAGACATATGCAGGAAATGAAACTGATCTATTTATAAATTATTTGTCGAATAAATCACATTATATACCACTTTCAATAAAATAAAGTGGTACCCATTCACGTTTAAACATCCAACGATGTCTCATTAAAAAATGAGACGTTGAGAAAAATGTTTCCTCTCTTGCAAACAGTTTTGCGCAAAGGTAATGGAGCCTTTTGCACGTCATTGAACTCAGCAGCGTGGCTGTGCTGCGGGTGGTGGTGGTTGGATGTGTTACTTTAAGTGGTCCTGACCGTTTTTCAGATAGACTTTGCATTTCATGTTCTTTTGCTCAACATTTATGGTGACATTTTGGTGTCACCCGAACACGCTCTAGACTTCTTCTTTGCGCGCTCAGCTTCATCTCTGCTCCACAGGATTAACTGATGTAATTCTGTTTACAGTTGTGTCATGCTACGTTCAGAATGCACGCGCTAGAGGCAGCAGAAACAGCTAGTTTATGTGCAAAGTCAATTGTGAGCAGCAGGAGCAGCGCTGTGAAATCAGCAGCTGCTGGAGTTAAAAAATTGTTACTTCCGCTCCTCAATGCGCCACATTAACCAATCAGAGAAGCTGATCTGGGAGCTGCCAGGAAGACGGACACAACACTTTTGATGCAAAGCGCTATGATCACTGCTCTGAAACATTTTGTTAACGCCTATATTAATTTAAAATGTTGAAACCTGCCTGCAAAATTTGTTTGCTTTTATTATTCTGGTGCCTGCAGTTTCCAGGGCTTGCGGCCTGAACATAGCATAAGACTTTTCTTCACTGGGCTCAGCCGCCATTCTCTTAGTTAACGAGTCTGACGTGATCGGTGGACTCACTGGATTAGACACCAGCTGCAGTATCTTAAAGGGGAAAGAAATACCAGCCGCCAGCACACATAGGAAAAAATGGCAGAATTAAGTTATTTTTTTATCTGCGGTAATAGTAGTGAATGACGGTAACTGTAAAAATGAGGTTTATCACCCAGCGCGAGTATAACTATTTATCAATGCTCTTTTGCTAATACATAATTTAAAACTTCATTTTTGAACAAGCATTACTTCATTATTATCGCATTTCAAATTGACACAATTCTTGGAAAGTTGATCTGCTACACGTTCCAAAAGCTGCTAGGCCTTTCTGCGCAATAAGAAAACTGTGTTAGAGGTTTAACAGCATAAGAAATGATCTGACGTGTTTTTCAACAATCTTTAGTTTTTAATGAATACATGAATATATATATATAATGAATATATATCAGATTTTAGCTGATAAACCTTTTTTGTAATGAACAATAACATGTAATCAAAACATTTGTTTTTTGACAACCGTTGCTTTTTTTGTTGCTCAGTGTTTCAAATCTAGTTCAATGATAAATAATTATTTTACTCTGAGGTCCTAAGAGTTATCTCGGTGTTTCATATATTTTACTGTTGTATGAAATAATATTTATTATTAATGCATCATAATTGATTTCCGAAATTGACGTCATCATTAGATTCATTTGCGCATAATGTAACAGACATTTTCTACAATCGTCTGAATTAAACATATTAGTTTTACTAAGCTTTATTCCTTCAAAGTAAAAATCCAAAATGATTTTAGGAACTTTTGGTCAGATGTTTTCCATTCTTACATATCTGCTATAAAGGTCATTAATAAACCTTTATTAATATGTTTTTATTTTACAACCTATTTCAGATTAAGAAATTCTACGGAGTTTATCAGCTAATAACTTAATTATATTAAAAGTTTATTATATAGTTTCCTTAGTACTTGGCTGTTTTTAGACAGCTAATTAGCTTCACCCGTCCATATGGGGATAATTATTTTAAAGCATTGTTTTTTTAATAGAGCAGAGTGGAATCATACTTCTCCTTTCTAAACCTCAGATTTTTGTTTGCTTTAAGGGCCTGAGCACTTTCCCGTCACACAGACCGGTGGGAAACGGCACAACGAGGACTCTGGCCACAGCAGAGGATCGAAAGTCCAGAGGCAGAGCAACCACTAAAGAGTTAGTGACAAACTCTTCTACTCCTAAATTGTTCACCAAATACCTAAACATGTTCAATAACAGAAAATAAGTACTGATGGTAAAAATGGGTTCAATTCACCTGAAAAAGGGATATTTATCTATTTATTTTTCTTTTATTTCAGGTGTTTCTGTTTGTTCTCCTTCAGCCAAATCAAAGCAGACACTAAAGGACTATGAGGTTTACCTACAGCACTGCTGTGTTGCATGAACGCACCTTCAGGATGATTGAATGCACTCACACACGTCCCCCATTAAACAGACTGTGGACTCTGATGAGGACTGCACTTCCCGGGCAGCGCTGACTCACTCTGCCCATCCTCGGGTCGATATCGACAGCGACAAACATCCTTGTGTATATAATGAATTTGCTAATTGCAGCTCACACGACTTGTACATATTTGGATATTTTAATGTATGTTTTCTCTCCTTGTGTAGCCATAAACCCATTGATATATTTTTGATATGAGAAATTAATATGGATGGATTTTTTTTTTTTTTGATAGTTCTCAGTAAATAAATAAAAAATAACCTAAGGCTGTCCTTAGAACCAAAAAAAAAATAATGCTGAGAAAGCTTTTTTGTTTGCTAACCATCATTTTCCCCAAAGTTTGATCTTTGTTGAGCCATCTGTCGTAAACTTTCAAGCAAAAGTGTTTTGGTTGATCTCAGTACTTGTGGACGTGTTGCGTTCCTTTCCAGTGTGATGGCGAAATGAACAACCATCCTGTTTTCCTTTTTTTTTGTAGTTTTATTTTTTTTTTTGCAAACAGACTAAAAACTTTTCCATCAGTGATTTCCCTGTAAAATCCCTAATAAATGAGTGTACCACCGACTGGATAATGGTGAATTCATTTGAATATTATCAACCGGCACATAGGAGTTCTGATATAGCATTTGATTCGTATTATTATATGCAAAAATGTTTTGCAACCTAAAATTCCAGCAATTATAACCATTAATCAAACATGGATAAAAGTTCAGGCAGTTTGTTAACCTTTTAGTTGCACCTTTTGTGTGGATTTCATAATTTTAGGTTATTGGTTCAATGCATTTTAGTTAGCGAGTCCTTTTTTTCCATCTCAAGGGTTGAACTTTATACAGGTAAAAATATAATTTGTTTTGGATAAATTGACCATTTTGAGAACCTGCTAAAGACTCCAAAGAAAAGCAGGCAGCCATCTTTGCTTTATGTTTAAATAAAAAAAAAAAATCTCCAAATTGTTTTATTGCAGCTTAAAGAAGAGTTTTCAAAGAACAGAATCCCTAATAATGCCACCAGTGCAGAGCTTACTCAACTTTGGCAGGAGAGACGTTAATAAATCTGCAAAGGCTGAGAAAGAGTTTTAGCTAAGGTATAGATTTAGATTATTTAGGAAGTTCAAAGACGGAAAATGTTGTCTAAATACCTTATGCATGTCACATAAGAACCTAAAAGGTGAATATCAGAAATATGGCGTGCAGAATGATTTGAATTAGTGTTATTTATTGGAGACTGCAGATATGCAGAGTGTCTAAGACATGTCAGTCCCACAATTATTACAAGGTTATACAGTAGGAGATGCAGTTTGCAAAATAACCGGGTTGCAAGATAAAAATATGACTGGGTGGGATTTTATGTGAAATACCAAAATAATCTGCATAGTTGGGAAGTGGAAGGAAAAAAAAAACTTCTGGATCGTTCTTTACGTAACAGTTGAAGCCTTGGTCTTATCTAAGTAAATGGCCCTGCACATGAATAAAATACTACAAATTTGTCATAAAAAAAAAAAAAAAAACTGCATCAATCTTGTCCCACTTCAATATCATGCCTTACGTTTCCCACATAAACAATGAAATGAAATAAAAATGTGACGTGAAAAAAACGGAACGGATAGATAATCTTGCAAGGCACTGTATATTTGGTTTGATGTTTAGAAACGAATTGAAACATACAGTATGTCTGAACTATGCAGGCCTAAATAAGGCACGGTCCCAGAGAAGCTGACTAAGTCAAGTGTTAATTCCTATCAATGCAGATCTTTCCAGATTCCTGTGAGATTTGAATAACTTAAGAATATGAGCATCAATAAACCAAAGGTTATTAGCGTTTCCATTCTGTCTGTAGCTCTGATCTTCATTCCTCAGCAGCCCGAAGAGGAGCGACGGGGTTAAAGAGAGGCCTGTGCTGCCTGAGGTTAAGCTTGGCGTAGCTCATCTCAAAGTCCTTCTTGGTTCCTACGATTACGTCCAAGCTGCCAGAGCACACGTCATATCCGTAAGACGCAAGCTTCTGGATGCGATAGAGCACGATCTGCGTGGTGAGCTCCAGGACGTTTGGAGATTCCTTCACCTGCCGGACGCTCAGGCCGGCGTCCAGCAGCCCCTGGAAGCGTCCTGCCAAGGTGGGCAATGAGTAGTATAAAACGGCCGGGCAGCGGATCACTACCTGCTTTAGTTCATCGTCGGAGCAGCTGAGAGCGCCCTGGACGTAGGCCAGCGCCTGCTGCATGGCTTCAGGCTTCAGCTCTGAGATGGAGGCTCTGAGGCTGGACACCAGGTTGAGGAGCTCCTCGGTGGTGAAGCCCTGCTCCCTGAGGAAGCCCAGACTGTCCCTCCAGGCCTCAGCTGGACGCAGGAGAATGTACGGGTTCTGACTGAGGAGCTTCTGCAGCCAAACCCGGAGATTAGCCTCATCCCCACCCAAGTCCAAGTAGGTCTCTCTGAGGGTGTGTATCACCTCCTGGTTGCGCTCCACGGGCTGACTGAAACTCTGCGGTGCGCTGGCCATCAGCTTGCTGATTATCTTCTTATTGAGGCGGAGGCTCTTGAGGTACAGGATGTTTGCCTGTTGGTTGCTGTGGTGGCTTACAGAGAAAAAGGAAGCCGGGAACTTTTCAACGATGCTCAGAAGGGCCCGCTGGTTGGAGCACACGGACCCCCAGAGGTCCCGCTGGGCCACCACGTCCTCCGGTGGAATCAGAACGGCCTCTGGGTGGGTTTCAAGGATGTGGGCGATCGCCGCCGTGTCTGCGCCCATGTCCCTCAGCAAGGCGGCCGTATCGGACACATAAACAGTGGTCTCAGACAAAACCCAGCCCTTCAGCTTACGGATCTTCCTCACATCCACCGACAGCTCGTACAGAGAGTCAACCGTGCTCTGGTTTTCCTCCCTTTTATTGTGGGAGGCCACAGTAGAGGTGAGAGAGGCAAAAGGAGGCAGGAGCATCCTCATCTTCTGGCCAGAGGAGCACAGAGACGCAGCGGTGACACGTAGCATTGCAGTGGATCTCTGCACAGAACACAAAAAGAAACCTTAACAAAAGCTGATCTTCATAGTTCCTCATGTTGCTCACAAGTCTAATAATTACAGCAAAATGCCATGTGGTCAAAAACCAATGGATCATTTTTTACATATAATATCCAGAGTGAAGCATGGTGCTGGGAGCATCATGCTGTGGGGGGAGATTTATTCAACACAGATAGGGAAGCTGGTAAGAAAAAAATCAGGAGGAGAATAAATAGATCAGTACTAAAAATAAAAATGTAGAAAGGGTTTGAGTAGCATTAAAGCATCTTTAAAAATGTAAATAACTTTTTGCTATTTTCTTAAAACCTATATATACAGACAGTATATGAGGTGCAAACAACTTGATTGTGTTTCCAATATGCATATTTTTATTTAAAGTGACAAAAAGATGATAAAGAAGAAAATGAAGTGCACTGATAGCAGCTGTCACTGCTGCTCTCCACATGTGATGTTACATGTGTCTGTTATGTATATAAAGCCATGACAACAGCAGGCCACCGCTGCAGAGCCACAACACCAACATGAGAGAATAGAACAGCAGCAGATAGAAAAACACACATAGATACGCTTTGTTATGAGGCATAAAATGAATAATAAGGTGGGTTCATTTACCAGATTTCAGGGGGCTTTGTTGCTGTGACTCCGTTGTCATTCCCACCGCTCTGCTTTCATAACACAGACCGGGCGTGGGCGGAGCTAGTGAGGCACGTAAGAGGTACGTGAACAGGAAGCGCACTCATGATGTGCGGTGCGCAACCGAGCCGACTCAATACGCCGGTTCTTTTATTTGAACCAGTAACAGATTCCCGCCTTAGGTTAGAGTTAATACAAAACAATAACGATGTTTAGATTTTAATTTAAACATTAATTACATTGAATATAATCTCAGAAGCAGGACGTGTTAATCAGCAAAGACCTGTTCTACTGTTAAAAGAGCCATGTCCTTTTTTTGTTGGAAAAAAATAAATAAATTATAAATCAAGCCACAAATCGAGACTGAATCCAACTGATAACACCAAACCAAATAGAACTCAACTAATTTTTTTTTTACTGCATTTTTGCATAATATATACATTTTTTACACTGCTGATAACTTCTACATCGATGCCTGTTTTTTTTTTTCTTTTCTCCACGCCGTTTGCACTTTATGAAAATCGAAATCACATTAAATACCCGTATGATCCATTAATGCATCCTCTCCTCTTATGTTGAAATCTACCGATTTGCTTTACTCTTTATCTGTGTGAGTTATTGTCTAAAAGGGGCAGAGCTGGATGGGGGGCCATGGGTGGCTATGGCTACCCTAAGCCAATCTTTGGCCACCCCTGTGGCCACCACTACCATTTTCCCCTCTAATACAGATGGTCAAATGGAATATTCAGAACATTTTATTTTTTGTGGGTAAATATACACATCGATATACTAACATCAAAGATAATAAATATAGAATACATGCTCTTTTCAGAGCTAGATTTTGTGTTATATGGGGTAAAGAGAAACTTATGTGTCTCTGCAAGTCATCTGGGAGTCTTAAGTGAAATCAAAGATAAATAACAATTTTAATAAAAACTTATCAAATAATCCATTTATGTAGATATTAGTGTTTGTAAATATCAGTTTCATGCAGAATGTTTATGGATACAAGTAGGTAAGTAATGACAATGGAAAAGATTTACACCCCAGATCTCAAAACATGAAAGAGTTTTATCCACTATACCTTTTATTTAGAAATAACCGATGTTGAAATATATGCGTCTATTTGTTAGCAAAGGCTGTAGGAAAGTATAGTTTGTCTTTATTTAGAAAATATGGATGTTTTGCTCGTTAATTTTCCTGTTGGAACAGTGTAGATTTATGTAGGACCCACTCTGCCATATTTGACAATAAATACAGAAATAAATAAATGCTCAATAAATAAATAAGCATTCAGTTAATCGCCCCCAAAAATACAATAAATAAATAAATGCAGGTAGAAATGAAATTATACACCGAGACATAAATGCATACATCTCTTTTAATTAGCTTCTTTTTTTATTTGTAATAATTACCCTCTAGAAGTTGACCCTCCTCATTTAAATAATGAGGCAGAAATGCATACAGAAATGTAAAAACGACAGGCAGAAATAAATAGAGTTTAAAAAATAAAGAGGGTAAAAAAAATACAAAGGAAGAATAAAACAGACAAAAATATTATATCAGGCACATAAATAAATAAAAAAATAAGTAATAAATAAATAAAGTCGAAGATTATAACAGACAATAAATAAATAAGGTAATTATTACAAAGGTGAATAAATAAAGAAGTTAATTAAAAGAGATATATACATTTATATCTCACTATTTAATTTAATTTTTATCTACATTTATTTGTTTATTGAGCATTTATTTATTTCTGTATTTATTTTTAAATCTGGCAGAGTTGGTCCTCCATATAGATTGACCCTGAGGTTCTGGTGCCTGTTTTTGGCCCCCCCTCAGTGTACATTGGTTTTGGTCCCTTATAAAAAGTTTCTGGCTACGCCTCTGCGGTCTAATTCCTCATTTGTTGTTTAAAATGTGTGCATTTTTCATAGTCATTCATCAGAATAATAATAAAAAAAAAACTAAACAACTGTCTATTTCACTGACAGATGAAGGTTGACTGTGTGGAAATTACATTTATTGAAAATGGCATCAAAGCAGAGGACGCACTGATGACGGAGTCTGTGTGAATGAGTAATTCCTACTGCCTTTTCCTTTACAGTATAAAGTAAGTTCATAAAATTTACAGAGTTCCCATTTTAAAGTGCAATGAACCAGCTGATATTAATCTGCACTGATTGGCAGGGTTGCTCTAATTACTCTTACAGTTACAGCTGGTGTCCAATACTTTATTAATGCCGTTTTGTACTGTCTGCCAGGCTACATTCATATATTTTTCATTGTGGAATGGACAGATTGATATCGCCATAAGGTATTTGTCAGTTGCACCTTTATAACGATATATCTAATTAGACAAGTGATGATTTATTCTGCTGATTTATTTAGTAGATGTGTCGCAGTGCAAAAAAAGGGTACACATTCTGGTAATTTAACAAAGCAGGATGTGTGAAGAAGTTTAAGTTTGGTTTAAGTCTTCACATTGGGTTGTAAGGGGAAAAGTCAAAGAGCTTTAATCTACTCCTTTTTAAAAATGATTTAAAATTATTTTTTTTGTAGTTTTTGTCAGTGTAACTTTTTTTTTATTTTATTGTCTTCAGAAAAAAGTTTGCATGTTTACGTTTTAATTTTATTTAGTGTTGTGTCTCATATTGACCACATGAGGCCGCTGTTTATCCAGGTATGTACAATGAGGGAAACATTCAAAGTTCTTTAAACTGGACAAATAAATCTCTGAAAGCACAGATTTTAAACTAAACTTCGTTTTTTTTAAATGCTGATTGGCTATAACTGAAATAAAACCTTTCTTCAAAAAGCTTGTTTCGTTTGCTGGCTGCCTCTATTGATGGACACAGTTGTCTCTTAGCAGCAGCAACCAACAGGACCTTAAATATACTAGAACCACCTGCTGTCGTCATGTTTTAGCAGTCCTCTCTGCTCTCAGGAACCAGACTGGAAAGACATTAAAATTTGCTTTGTTATCCTCACAGGCCATAATTAGCTCGTCTTCACTCAGACAGGCTCACAAGTCTTACACTGGGACTAAAATGTAATCCCCCACAGATAATAGCATGTCTAACATGCACGTTTACTGTAGAATAACATCAGGAGCTTTATCCCAAGGAGGCTCACAGATCAAGTTAATTAGGATTCCCAGACACTGCAGAGCACCTGTTGCTGGCATTCAACTCTGTCCTTTACCAGGAATAACTCAAAACTTGGGAACACTAAATTGTTGACGTCTTTAGATGTCGGAGAGCAATAATTACACTTTAATCCACTGTGTGCTGAAAGCTGTAAGCCCCTCGGTGCTCTATGGTTTTAATTATACCCATAAGAGCGGAACCCAAACTGTGCTTTATTGTTTTTAAGCAAACAAGTTACTTTTTTAAATGCTTGAAATAAAATCCTGCAGCAAAATAAAATATCTATTAATAGAAACTCATGAGCAAACTCAGACCCGTCTAGATGCTAAGATATGTTTAAATGTTGATATACATTGTATTCTACATTGTTTTGTTGTATTGCATATTTACTGGGAAGCTTTTGGTGATTTTTATCTTGGAAAATTGCTATACAAATAATTTATTTGACTTACGTGTATATTAAAAATTCTTAAGTTTGCTGTCCTCATCACCTTTTTCATGCATGTGTATGTCTTCCCTCAGACTTTCCAGTAAAGTCTACATGGGGCTTCTGATTCTAAGACTTGCTTATTTCTTCCATTTATACTCATAATATAGTACTAAAACTAATATATACATATTTATACTTTTTTTGTTTTTTTGTTGTTGTTGTTGTTGTTTTTTTTTAGGTCGTCTATTTTCCCTAAATGTGCTGGATGTTATGGGAGCTGCTGAGATTCTGCAACAGGAAAGGATCTCCATAACATGACACTTCCACCTCCATGCTTCACAGCTGGTATGAGATTCTTTAACTGGAAGGTTTGACCTAGTTCATGCTAAACATTTTCTTTATTCTTGTGTCTAAATAGCTGACATTTAAAGTAATCTGTTCAGAGATCTTTATGTCGGAAGTCCTGGGTCTGTATTCATAAATAATCTTGCAAGTAAAAGTTAAATTCTAAGAAAAATCTTTGAAGATCTGAAATTATAAGTTTATCTCGGTTGCATAAAAGCTTTTGTTCAGAGTAGTGAGAAAGACTTTTAGTGATCTAGGTGGATTTTAGGCAAATAAGAAGGCAGGGATGAGAGCTGATTGGCCAAACAACCACCTAAAGGGTAGAGAGAATGAGTGTTTAAAGTTCTTTAATGATCAGGCATTAAATAATATGTAGTTAAGATAAATTTGTTTATCTTTTAAGGGAGAAACTGACTAGTTTCAGCTGATGGACTGTTCAAACGTGTAGGTGGTAAAATCATGAAATGTAAAATATTGAATAAATGTAAAAAATTGAAAGAAAAACAATATACTACAGATACAATTTAATTGTTTACATTGTAAAAGGCTTTCAATAATTAAGATTTTAAAATAATTTGGAAAAAAAACTTTACATAAAATGTGATGACAATAAATCTGAATCTAAAATTTCTAAATCACCCTTACAGAAAAATGTTTAAAAAGAGGCAGGAAAAAGTCAATACTTGACTACCTGATTCCCTTAAGTAATACATGTTCATTTGAAGTGATAGTTAATATGCAAATGCAATAAATTGCAACCTTTTTTCCTCCTTATACCTATTAAAAACACGTTTCTTATATTGGTTTTCAATTTCACAATGTTCTTGTTTAAATCTGATATAAAGTTTCTTCCAAAGAGATTCACACATTTTTCAAAGCTAATCAGGTGTAATGTGTTTTTGAAGTAGAGTTCACTGCTAAATCCACAACCTTCCTGTTATTAAATATTGCAGATTGCCTGATGGCATTTTATTCCATCCATACATCTTCTTCCACTTATTCAATAAGGGTTGGGGTTGGGTCGGTGCCTATTGCCAGCTGTCAATGGGCGAGCGGTGGGGTACATCCTGGAGAGGTCACCAGTCTGTCAAGGGGCAACACAAAGACACACAACCATGCACACACACACACACCCTTA